AACAAAAACAAAAACAAACTAAACTAAAAATTTGAACATTAAAATATATTGTAAACAATTTTCCGGCGAATATCACAGAATCGTACGCAGCGAATAGGCAACGTTTTCGGCCGGAGGACAATCGTACACATAACAAGTTTACCGTTTCAGTTTCTAGAAGTTTTTCTGCGTCAGCCACCGACGTGGCAACTGCAGTCATGTTCAAATGAGCGGTCGGAATCCAGGTTAGCGTGCGTGTACTGTACAGCGCGTACAGAGTTTGAACGCGACAAAAACACAACAATCCTTAAAAATTATTTTACAAGCGGATGGCGCCGCGGTAAAAGGACATAATCCACATTGATTTATAAACATTGGTACGCATATTTTGTAGAAAAAAAAAAAAAAAACTGATACTTAGCGCGTATAGCATTTTTGTAATATACGATTTTTAAATAATTTATATTCAAACCACAATGTATTAGCTCTAAAACACGAACCTATAGGGGACATTTTTAGAAACATCAAAGCGTAAGATACGCTACATAAGGAATGAAGACGCCTGTGAACAATATTAACGCGTATACACGTCACGTAACATAACAAAATCGCAAAACCACCTGAACAAAACGTTTGGATATCGGCGTTAAAAATAATTGACAGTTCAGACAACAATCGCTCGGAGGTATCAAATTTTTGCCAAACGATACGTGATTTTTGGTTGATTCGCCCAAATGAAAACCGCCCGCCAAAAGTGTACAGTATAATATTTTTGTATTTATTTTGATTAATTTTATTTAAATATCTAAACGTTCCGAGGGCAGCGGTAAGAGAACATTAATTAGTACAAACAGTTAAATTACAGTGATAAGAATGGGTCAGGCTCGGTATGACTGAGTATGGTTGAGACGACGCGACGTCCTATGGACAGATCGATTGTGGCCATAAGACGTGAGGTGTGCCGAAACGGAGAAGAGGGAGTGATTTCGAGTGGGGTGCGAGGGAACGCGGAAAGAGACGTTTGCCAGTAAGTCAGGTGCGTCGAGAGTGCCATCGAGATGAGAGAGAGAGAGAGAGAGAGGAGATAAAAATAAGTTCAGCATTGATACGACGGAATTATGCGCTATAAACACCCGCCTCAGATTATGACCGCACCGACCGCGCTTCCCTTTTAACGTAACATTATAAATATTGGTACCCGCGCGTCGCAGGGTGTATTGTACAAATAACAAGACCGGAAACGGCCGAGGCTCGTTAAATATTTGTCGTTTTTTACGATAATAACAATATATGTTTGTGCGCCCGCGTGCGATCGTCGGGGGCCCGGTCCCGTACCGATAAAACAATATTATAAAAGTTACACCGAAACCCGGCGAGTTTCGGCCGGCGATGCGGTTTACCGTTCGCGGAGAATCGTATTTTTTTTGTTTTTTTTTTTTTCTTTTCTATGATGATAATAATAGCGTGTCTTCCCGCGCCGTCGACATCCCATTTTGCCGACCGGTTCGGCCGAAGTATTGAAAATCTTCCCATTTCGACAGCACATAAATCGATTATGTTACTGTTTTGAATTGAAACATTACCGTAGCATTATTGTAGCATGGACATAAGTAAATGTGTATACATTCAGTATTATCGAAAATACAAAATCCGGTTGACGGCATAACAATAAGTGATCAACGATTAGACGGATGTTCGAAAGGAATTTTTCTGATCGTTTTTCATGATTTAAGTACGGCGCAGAGTGACGATCTAAGAAAACTAGTGTGACCCCCGCTCAAAAACAACAATGAAAACTAGTGGTATTTTAACACAAACTACACAGTAGGACGGGGTCTTGAGTAGGTCAGGTACTCAAAGCGACGCGCGTCACGCGTAAGTTTCAACGAAATAAAATGGGTAGTCGGCGACGTGGGAACGGACCGATAATAATAACAGTAATAACAGTAATAATATTGACAAAAATATAATACGCGTGTGCGCGCACACGGTAATATACGGAAACCCGGAAACGCGCGGGCCGTTAACTGCGATGAAAAAAAAAAAAATAACGCGTCCGACGCGACGGCGACGACGCCGCCGCCGGCGCGCGACGGTCGGGCGCCGCGCGCGAGAGCGAGCGACGGAAGGAGAACGGAGAATAAATTAATGCCGATCGGCGCCCGAAGCTCGCGGGCTAATTACGAATACACGCGAAAAACGCATCGCGAAAAAAAAAAAATAAAAAATAATACGTGCGTGCATAATAATAACGTACACCGCGTGTACGTACAATACACACACGCACACGCGCGCGTTACGTTACCGTACACACACATTTACGTTGCGCGCGTACGTGTGTACGCGGTGTACACCCGTCGACACGATAATGTTATTGCGAACACGTACGGCCATAATAATAATGATAATACCGCCGCGCGCGCGCGCCTTAAATATTAATAAAAAAAAAAAAAAAAAAAAAAAAAAAATCGCGATACATTCCATCGCGTGGAGAAACGCGGGAGCGAGCGACCGAGCGCGCGCGGGCGAGCACGTCCGCGAGTGCGCGCCGCCGACGCCGCGCGTTTTCGCGTATTTCGACATTCGGGGAGAAAACCAAACGGTTTTTCGACAAGAACAACCGCCCCCTCCTCCTCCTCCGCAAGCGGGGCGAAACGGGCTTGCGACGGTTTTACAGAGATGATTAATAATTATTTATACGTTTTTTCCGCGGGCAACTTTTCCACCCGGAGGTGTTGCTTTGAAGTGCAGCGCCGCTTCTGAAAGGAAACTTACGGGTACTTTGGCGAGGCGATTTTTCGAGAATTTTTCTCATCAAATCTGATAAAAAAAAAAAAAAACGGGAAAATCCGTACACTAAACAAATCATACCGTTAATGAGAGTATATAATGCCTATTTTATTGTTTTACCGTAATATTAACTCGTAAACATTGTTGACAAAACACATTACTATCGACTGAACTCCGCTCACTAAAATACGCCGAATCGCTCGTAACAGCGGCTGCACCCGACCGCATTATCCTAGGACGTCGTTTTTAGCGTTAGCTTAAAAATATGAAATACCAGAATCTGTGTACCGTGCATTCTCCGTTAAACAATTTTCCTCGTCTTATAGTTTCCGATGGACTCGCGGATTCATTACAGCGGCGGACACGGACCTTAATTTCGGACCGAGTGCAAATGACCCTATTTCTCCCCCCTGGATCCGTCGCGGATTGATTAATACGGTAATAGACCGTATCGATTCCGTCTGTTTTCCATCGCCTCACGTGCCAGACGCGTTTGTCGTCGTTTATCCGTCGTACGTATCCGAGTGACAATCGGATTGGCAATCGGATCGTGTTTGAAACGTTCGAGGAACGTCGGGACACGATATTATATCGGATTTCTAAAATCTAATTTATCGTCGAGTCTAATCAAGAGCACGCGGATAGTCCATTGACGTTTCCACGCGCGGAAAAATCGGATCGTTTTTACCCAACGAAAACAAAAAAAAAAAACCATACACACGCACACGCACGATACGTCTAAACTCGGAATAAAAATTTGAAAAATAAAAAAAAAAAAACCGACAAGTCTCGGTGGAGTTGCGATGAGATGTTACGAAAATCGTTAAACGTGGTCCGTGCAGTTTTATAAAACAACGCGCGTGCGTGTAACACGAACGTATTATAATATGCAAATAATACCTGTTGCGGGCTTTTTCAGCGACGGCGCGGCCTTGTGTCCGCGGGGGCGCGCGCGTTCTTTGTGCGGAGACGCATTTTCCGCCGCAGACGACACCGCGGCAGCGCTGTTACGCCGCGGATATTATTATAATATTGTGATATATTACGGTCTTCGGGGGGGGGAACAAACAAACCGTAGTGTAATATATGCGCATAACATTAAACACACACGTATTCGGCTCGTGCGAAATGTTTTATCACAATACGCATCGTCGAAAATGTGCGAAAAACAAAAAAAACAATAATATTTTAACACGGTACGGGTACAGGACGGCCGTTTTATCGCCGGCATCAGCGATTATATTATTATTATAATCCTCGGCGCGCGGAGATTTTCGAGCGGACCGCGTATTATATTTCTGGTTTTTTTTTTTTTTTTCGTCCCGCGCCAAACCGTTTAACGATCTCGTATTCGCAATGGCCGTGTTTGATATTTTTCACCTTCGGCGAAAACGAATACTCGTCCAAAAGTGCTGACACGTCCGTAATAATTCCAAATTGCGGAACGGGTATTATCCGGCTAGACAAACGCGTACGCCGGCCGGCGTAATGCGTAGGGTAATGATAATGGCGATTTCCCATCCGTTCGTACAAACCTCAACAAAAACACTTACGGTTTTCGCAGATCCGAACCGACGGGGCGGGGGGGGGGATATGACCGCCATAACCATTAGTGTGCCCTCCACCCCCCCCCCGAACGCACTCCGTGAAGGAATTCGCGCGTTTAAAAAACAATATTTACGTTCGAAAATCAAAATTCGATTAGCGCGCGACGGCTTGCTCGGGACGGGCGACGACACGTTCGAGAAATCTCGCAAACGTCCAGTATCCGAATGTCCACTCGTACATGTATTCTTCGTGTAGGCGCTCGTATCGGCGGTCCGTCACGAGAGAACACGCGCACGGTGTGCGCGCGCAGTCTGTGCAGGCACGCGACATTATCGTATACATGCGGACGATTCGTCCGCGCATTATTGTAATCTGGCGATTTTCGATCGGTTTCCGTCGCATTAACGAACGACACCTAAAAATATCGCGTTCTCCGTTACGCGCCCGGTCGCGGATCTTTATCGGCGCGCGCGTGCCGCTGTTGCGCGGATCAGCTTCCTCCGCGCCGTAGGTTTTTTTTTTTTTTAAATTATTACCTATTGCCCGCACAATGACGGACAAAGACGCGCAACACACGCGCAACACGTGATCGGGCCGTTTTCCGTCGATAAACTCGTCCCAGCGTTTTACGACAACATAAATAATAACACAATATTATGTTCGATATCGTTGTATTGTATATTATGATATTATACACCGCAGTCGATAAATCTACATTACGGCCTCGTTGCAGCCGGACGGTTCGTTGTCCCGCGGCGGTAAATGCCACCGATGTAAAATGAAAACATATTTCAACGATTTTTTTTTTTTTTTAATACGTTTAACAGAACTTCGCTCAGAATCGGTTTTCGTTTGCAATGCGATTCGCTGCGTACAGTAATAATTTTGATTACACCTTACGCGTCTTACTTTCGGAACTCCACGCTCACAACAGTGGCACACCCATCAGCATAACTGGTTTCATTATTATTATTTTTTTTTTTTTAATTCGGTATAAAAATAATCGCAAAGACCTGAAATTTACATTTTAAAATTTAATACGAGGTTAATTATAAGTTATACAAAATGGTAAAAAATAAAAAGACGAGCGTAATAAGTAGTTTTTTTTCATAATCGTGTTTTAAGTTGGAATCCGTAAAAATTACAGCATTTCAAAAGAATCATTTTTCGTTAATGATGATTTATCATTGCGTACAGATATCAATTGTAAATTAAATAATTCTATACTCTCTGTGTTCACAACTTCTCACCTACAACAGTGTCGGCTATTTATTTTGTTTTGTTAATGTCTATAAACAACTTTCAATCGCTACAATACCTACGCCTTACTTTCTTCAGACGAAACACGGTCCGGTGCGAATCTACAGCTCTTTTATCCGGAACATTTGATCACGGGCGAAGAATCCGCGGCACATTTGATCACGCCCGTGGATATTTCGCTGGACGGAAAATCATCGACCTGGTGTTTGAACCGTCGAATCCTCAGTATCCTCGCCGAACAGTGCACCGGGCTACAAGGAGTTTGGATGTTCCACTCGTTCGGCGGGGGTACCGAGCCCGGTTATACTGCGCTACTCATGGTTCGGCTTAATATCAATTGCCCGGAGAAAAACAAATTTCAAATCGCCGTTTATCCGGCACCTCGAGTGAGTCAACAGTACGGAATTACTGTTAACCTGACCGGTGACTTGCCGCCTGTATAATGTAAATGGTCAACGCTTATAAATCATAAAACGATGACCTTTTTATTTTTTTGGTTCGTTACCGTGCAATCGTGACCACTATTTTGACGAAAACGAAATTTTTACGACTACATACAAAGTATAAGGTATAATGTTATTAACTCGCCGAAGTATTGCACCTGTGAACGCGAAAAACTAGAATTTTTATTTTTAGCGATCCCCCCCTCCCCCCGAGAGAAGAGGACTTAAATTGGAATTTAGCATAGTCATTGGTCCAGAAGTAGATATTATAATAGATATAATCAATGTATTATTCGAAATAGTTTTTTAGATTCTGAGTGGAGCGAAAAAGCTTATGCACAAAGATGTTTATTTTATTTTTATTTTTTTCTGCGGACAACTTTTCCACCAGAGATCATGCTTTGATTTTTAAGTTGAGAATTTTTTTTTTGAAAAGAAATCGGTGTGGGGAGGTAGTTTAAACAGGTAGTTTTTCGATTTTCTCAACAAATGTGAAAAACGGGAAAATGTATGAAATATAGGTCTTGGTTGAAAAATATTACGACCTTCTTTTTCCCCGTGAACAACTTTTTTACCAGCAATTTCGCTCCGATTTACAACAATAGCACTTTTTCTAAAAAGAAATATGACCGGAGGGGGGAGGTGCTTTTAAAGGTGCTTTTACCATAATCTGGCATATTTTATATTGCCGACAAAGCATTATAAATTATCGAATTAATTTTGTTGATTTACGGGTTCGGTTACCTTTCTGACACGAATGCAATTCGAATAAAAGCGCGGAGATTATCGCACAAGAATATCATTCAAATTTAATGTCGATCGATAAAAAATTTAAATAAATATTTTATTTATGTTATTATGTTATGTTTTTACTATGTTCACTATGCACACTCCATCTCCGTTTATCATTAAATTACAGCCGTATGTTTCGCAGTCTATATTTGTATTAACAGTGTGTACCTGGGTATTTTCATGCGCCTATTACCTATTGCGTTATATTTCGTCACAACAATATGTTATTTTAAGTTTTTTTTTTTTTTTTTTTAAATTAAATGACAAGTTCGGCATAATACCTATATAATTTTCTGTTTTAATTTGTGGGTTTTTGTTTTATGAAAACGGCGTCAGTTGGCGTTTTGGCCCGGGGCGTCATTTAGCCTTGCGCCGGCCCTGAAGGTATAACCACCAATAAATCAACGAATATAACGCAACGTTCCGAAAATACCGAAAACCAGATAAACACGACAGATGATTTTGAATCTAATTAAATTCAATTTTATAATGTATCCCCCGGTTTTGTTCCTCGGAACATAATTATTATTTAGAAATAACGTCATAACTCATAAGTGTAACGTATAACGTTATGGAAATTACACTCGGAGAGTTACAGTGTAACGTTACTTGAAAAAAAAATATCTAATGAAATTACTACCGCGTTACACTGTCGTTACGGTAATACTTATTCGTATTTGCGTTACATTACTCCCCAACACTGAATATTAACAACAATAATAATAATAATAATAATAACGTACACGCATTCGTATACAATACGTCCCGCGACCTATCAATGTGGTTTATTATAATGCGAATGCGTTTCCCGCGAGTGCAATATCGTTTAAACGGTTATTTTCGATTTCCGTCACGTCCACAACGGTGTGTCTGACCATCACACATGTGCGCGCACTCACACACACACACACACACACACGCTCGCACACACATACACACACACTCCGACGTGTCAAAGCCGACGTAAACGAAATAAATGCCAACTACTTATACTTTATTTTTTTACACCGGGTCGATTGGATTGCAGTGGATATCGGTTTTCGATCATTTATTTTTTTTTTTTTTCTGCGCACTCCGGAATGTCGTAAAATATATTATAATAATATATGATGTGAAATAAATTAATACGAATCGATAAAGGTACGTATAATATTTTATGAGAATATATAGCTACCGAAAATGATTTTATAACAAAAACCAAAAAAAATCAACAGCTTGTATAAATCAATAATGCCATTAAACACGGACGCGTTTTACATTTTTTTTTTTTTTTCCGCCGCGCCGTCTGCGGCTCCCGAGTTAGCTCATCGAACTTCAGATGCGGCCGAGGTCGAGGCTGCAGCGAAGTATATTAAATATTATTATTATTATTATTACTAATATGTACGGGCGGACGACGCGATAAAATACGAGTACACCTGTAATATTTTAATATCGACGTCTCGAAAAACGGACACGGTTAAAATATCACAATGGTGTCGAACGAGTTTTTAAAAACCGCGTGTAACGTTTGACGAAAAATCAAATCCGTTTTCGCGTCATTTCATAGGTGATTTCTAGAAAACTTCCTGAAACCCCTAAACTGTATTACGGTCGCAGGTATTTGGTGTCCGGCACCCGGGCATAAAGTTCATACGTAACGTCTGAAATTAGTCTCGGAATTAATCGTTGCGTTTCGGTTCTATTCAATATCTAGGAACGCCGAGGAATTATCTCGTCTCGCGATAACGGCTATCTTTATATCAAACGCAAAAATCTTCGAATCGTGTTCGCGTGCTCTTCGAACCGCGTATTTCAATCTTATCTCCGGCCCTCCCGCGCGTCGTTTCCCTCTGCATTGGGTCTCGTTCGGGCACTGTACCCGTATGGCGTTATGTTTCGGTTTTTTCCGGTCCCTATCGCAAAACTATTCCGTTTTTCGACGATCTCAGCGTTAACGCTATTGCTGACGCTTCAAGACCGTTCGTAATTTATTTTTATTTAACAATTTATTCGATTGTCACGAGTGACGGCCGTTTAAAACGTACAATCGTACGTTATTCTCGGCGTGTAACAATAATTATTCGGACATCATCGCGTCGTTGTTCTGTTACGTCAGCCCATCGGGTACCATTAGAATTCAGGAATACTCGTGTTTATTATACCACTCGTAAAAAACTCGACGTAATAATACTATGAACTCGAACGAGACCACACATCACGGGACGACGGGTAAACACCACCGTGTCCTGCATCTCTACCCGTATTTTCACTTACAATACCGGCGATTTACTCCAAGAGGCTGAAGTCCCTCCGCCATTGGCCGCATTATAGTGCAAAACGTAATGCAAACCGTTCGGCAGCGCAAACATATTTCTAATAAAACAATAATCGTTGCGCTCGGTGACGCGCTGGCCCATATGATGGCGCGCACTGTTCCAGAAGACGGTGGACCGCTTCCGTATTTCGACTGTGGCCAGCGTTTGCGCTTATAAACGCGTACTGATTTCGTATTTGTATTGGCGATACGCTTTCGTTCGAATTTTCGACCACCGCAACTGCTCCGGTCATCGACGACTTAAATGACGATTTGCGATAGTAAATTTTATTTGGTTGGCGCATCGAGGACGTTGGTTTTTTAAAAATAATTTTTCCTAACAAAATCAGAGAGCACCGTCAAATAAACGGCAATGTTTCGATTTCGTTTTTTTTCCGTTGTAATTTAATGAAAAATAACGTACTCGCGATATCGTTTTCCAGACGTAATTAAACAGAAAACGTGAACTTTACGTTTACACACAATCCCTAAAGAAACGGAAAAAATTGTAATTTATATTGTAGTTACAAACCGATAAAATTAAATAAAAAGCTTTTTTTTTTTTATAATAAAATACAGTATATACACCATGACCCGAAGTATAATATAAATGCCCGGCCGGTAGTGTCCTCGGCACATTCGCACGGGGGTATATAACTAATTACAGACGTAACGTCATTATTAAACGTATTAGCAATCGGTTAGCTACCTTTTCGAATAAAAAAAAAATCAAATGGAGAGTTATTACAGCTCCCCTCTCGTTCCCCCGTGCGTGTACGTTTTTTTTTTTTTTTTTCTTCAGTACATTCCCCAGCTTTTATATTAAATTTAATTACGACATTGTGTTACAATATTAACAGGCAGTATAAAATTAAACCGCGAGACGGACGCGTTTTACTGCGGCGGCGCCCGTCAGTGTTTTACGATAACACACGGGTACCCCCCCCCGTACAATAATGCGCCGTTGCGGCAATATTATTTTACAATAAATTCTCAGCCGACGTATAAACACACTGGACGTCCAACGTTCCAAAGAATTTGCGCCGGTCACCGGGATAACGTTATAATCGACGAGTTCTCCGTTATACATAATAATATGTGTATCGTCGTTAAAAATTAATGGATTTATTTTTTCACGTACCCGCGATATATTATAATGCAGCTGCATACATTACTGCCTCGGCGTAAAATACGACATCGTTTGCACCCGGGCATTCCGTTCGCGATAGTTAATAACGTTAAAATTGAAAATTAATCATAACACGCGTGCGCGCAACTGCGGCGGTCGCGATGCGTGCGCGCGGCAGTGCGAATTTCAGCCGTACTCGGTGCATCGTGCGCCGCCGCGGTGTACCACGTCGCGGAGATCGGTGTGCGGTCAATGCGGATTCTTGCGACTCGTATTTGATCGGGAACACGACGCGAGATATCAATACGGGTTGCCCGAAAACGCATAGGTCCGATGTGAACTCTCCCGTTTTTTTTGTTTTTCCGAATCGTTAAAAAAAAAAAAAAGCTTCAAAGAAATACAATATTCAAATGCGCCGACTAGACGTAACGACCGGTTTTTTTTTTTTTTTATGCAATGTTTGTATTGTACAATAATTGTTTATTTAAATACATATATATATATATATTTTTTTTTTTTTTTTTTTAATAAAATCTGCCTCCTTTGAACGACCCTAGGATCCGGCACCACCTATTATCGTAAAAATATGGTATATATTTTGCATTTTTATCGACACATATTGTCATTACGATTTGGACTCGGAGCGCTTAGAAAACAAATCGCCTTTTTCACACAACTGAAAAACCGCCAGAACGATTTGAAAACTGTACCATGTCTAGTAAGAGCTGTATATAAAAGACTATACCGCTATAAAAGTGTTCGATGGAATTTGTGACCTTTACG